AGTTCCCAGACACTCGGATCTACGCACAAATCAATAGCAGGGAATGTCAGGCAATATTAGCCGCATATGCAGTATATGTCGTGAACCGGGCCAACCCGGGCGACCCCTTCAGTACTTCTGTCGGTGTCATATCGACTCCCAGTATCGGCACTACGAGTGCAACTGCCGGTGGATTATACATACGAGGGACAGGCCCTGCAATCTATGCGGTCACCGATACACCGACCCCCTCAACCGCATTAGGCGCACCCGACTGCCCGGTGATATATGGGAGTACCTGACCACCCATGAGGAGCGGTTCACATGGCTAATGATAGGTATCGCTATCATGATCCTGGAAATGCCAATGACATGGGTGTGGACAGGTATGCAACCCCAGTCCCTACACAAACAGTATCAGCCCTATTTCTCGTATATCGTACGTTCCGGCTCTTACATCCTATGGGGGCTTATGCTGACCGCTCGTATGCTATGGTGGGGCCGGTATTTGATGACTACAGGCGCTGGTGGGACGACAGGTATTCAGACGTGTGGTTCCAGGACTACAACTTCCAGTCAAGAGATGAGCCATCAATGCCCGGCTGTTGGACTCGATTTGATAGACAGACGCTCACGATTGATGTGAAGTATCCGAGTGGCGAACGGCTTATACTACCGGTGCCCGAATATCTGTAAGAATATTTATGTCTCGGTTACCATTGCTTTTAAGCTCAAGTAAAGGAATCAATAGAATTGAGAGATTCTGTGATTTGAATTAATACAAGAATATTCTTTAAAGTACTTATGATAACGAATATTTATTTAAAGTCTGTGTAAATAATGATACGAATTATGAACTGAAATCAGATTTTATAAAATAATAACACTGTTATTAAAACAGTCATTAAAATGAAAAATAAGTACATTTTGTTCGGTATTACCGTATTTATGACAAACATTTTAGATTTAACAATACAATTATAAAGCTATAAAGTGTAAGAAATATTATTTTATATAAAAAACAGTTTGATCTGTATTTAGGCCATGAATACATAAATATAAAACATTGAAAAAATAAATCTAAAATATTTGTCCGCAAATAGTGAGCCCACACGTGAATCTTAATAATCATGAGTATAATATTTATTGAGATTTAGCTTGGTAAGTATTTTATATCAATAGCAAACTCTATATATAGCTGGGCTCAAGAATATTCCTTATTATAAAATATATAGCAGTAAATATAATATATTGACATTCTATAAGTACGTACATACTTTTACGAAAATGGGGAGGAACACCTACATTTGTATATTTGCTAAAAGGATGTTGATTAACTCATTTGGCGTACTGTACATACTTAATGAATGACTCAATAATATTAAAATTCTCAGCTAAAAGCGTAAAAAATGAGCCCATATTTAGACGACTTGTCTGTCCTTCTTGACGATCATATAAGTAAAATAAGCGGTCAATGAGACCACTATAATGCTGAGTATATTGGTGGCCATGGGTTGGGCGAACAGGTTGTGAACGATGCCAAAGACCCCCAACACCAGATACACGAATACAATGGTCTTGTTCTCACGTACGACACCGAAGATGAGTATCGCCTCAAACACGGTTAACACGATCACAACTATTCCCATAACTATTGTAGATGCTTCTAAACAATCATTGTATAGAATATTCTGTTAGATTCTGTAATATAAATAGTTACAAGTGTTTCGATAAAATCATTGACACTGGTCAGTATTTGGGCAAAACATTGTTAATATTAAATATGAACATGTTCAGATTTGATCGAAACTCATATAACAATATTTTAAATAATTATGATATAATGGTGACTGACTGGCATCGACATCGACTTTTTCGTTGTTATGATCGAAAGTAAGTGTCTTATTATCGGCTGTTGAGAAGGCGGCGATAAACATAATGGCCGCGATGCACATTAATACCAGGGATATTGAGTGGATTACGATGAGGGTGATCTTGACACATCGAAAACATGGAAATTCGGCTTCCGGATTGAATCCGTTGTGCATTGTCTCCCCTTTCATTTGCATCATATTTGCTCCTTATTTACTTTAATATGATTTATATTGTTCACAATATTCTTATAATTCTAGATAATTATACTATGGCTAGTAATTGTAGTATTAACTATTAATATACATACAATTCTGGTAGTAAATTAATATTAGTAATTACAGTATATTATTCACAATTTTAAACAAAATTAATGTAAGTATTTGAAACTTTTTTAGTCAGACATCATAACTGCAGTGAAAATCGATATAAAGTCTGCGATTTTGTGCGCTATACTCTGTATACCCAGTGTATGGTCGACTCAAACGCTAATATGTAAGCACTTAACTGTTTTTTACTGTAATTTACGACCCTTTGTTCGTAGAATTTTATTTATATAACTTTATGCTCACACTATATAGCAGAGTATCAAGGTCAATGGGACTGGGATTGCAGGCAAAGTAGTAATCATAATATGTCTGTTGATCTTAGAGACAACTTTCTAATAAAAAGTCTATTCAAAAGACATGAGCACTTGTGTTGAATCTTCATGTTATAGTCAATCAAAGAAAATGAATTTTATTGATTTTTATTTTAATACAATTATTTATCATAAAAATATTACTTATTAACACATTATTATTTTAAAAAATTGTTTACAAAGTTGTAATAAATTGATAAGTAATTTAATATGCTAATGGGGGTTCAAGATATAAGTAATTTAATAATGCATATGAATCCCAGAGACTCGAACTGACTCTTCTCTTAATTCAAATACAGACTGTATTATAAAGTGTTTAAACTTAAGTCACCCAGCATTTACCAAGTTCACAATGTATTAGCTATGTGATTTAAGTTTAAACACTTTATAATACAGTTCATATATATCATGACATAGTTCATAATATTGAAAATAAAGACAATTTCTCTGAGATTGCTTAGTATTCATAATTATATTTAATATTTTAATCACTTCTTATTGCGATAACTTTTCACTTAATTTATTGTTTAGATATTTCAAATGTAATCAAATTTATTTTATTTAAATTTATGAACATTGCATTTATTTTAATTATATATTTAAAATTATTTTTTTAACTTAATTTTAATTAATTAAAT